TGTACTGCTTAATATATAAAAGGCACAGAAGGGATCAGCAGGTGGAGTGATGCTTAAAGTGCTGGACTCCCACATGGTTAACCGCAGTTTAAGTCTCAGACTGGCAGCTTGAAAATCATGCCTGGCATGCATGCACATGTGCCCCAAATCCTGAGAGGAAAATGAAAGAGAAAAGAATGTGGCATGGCCATACCTCCCTGGGTGGTGAATTCTCACTTTCCCTCTCTTTGTCTCTCTGGTGAGCACATGAACCCAGTAGCCAAAAGAAAAACACAACTTAAAAAAGTTAAAAATAAAAGCTACTGAAGCAAATGTTTTCATTATATTAAAAGGCAGTGATAAAACCTAACATACTGAAGAGGAAAGAGAAGGAAGGGAAAAAAACCCTTAACCCAGCTATTTAACACATTTCTACTTTGGAGAGCCCAGACAAATACCTTCTGGGTCTCATTCTCCTTTTTTTAAAACTTATGGATGGCAAAGCATGGGCACGAGTGTATCATTCTGTAACTGTCATTGGGCAACAAGTGGAGAAGATGGCACAGGCTCAAGGGTAGTAGATTCCGAGAAGCTTACAAAATGAGATGCTAAGCACATTTTCCTCTCCTTAGATTTTCCCCCCTCTAGTAACTGTTAAGCCTGTTCACCATTGAAATTCAAAGTCAATTCTTTGAGATCTTTCAATTCTGTGATAAAAAGAAAACATTAAGACCCCAGATAATTATTGAAGTGGAAGAGTAACCATTAACCATAGGTACATGTTAACATTTCAAGTTTACTGTGGGTTCTGAAGCCCTTCAGCATTCCTGAACTGGGGAGCTTTCAAAAGCTAAAATGAATTTTAGAAGAGTTCCTATCCCCCTTCCCCCAAAGAGGACAGGTCTGCTCTAACAAAGTATGCTCAGGGCTCAGCAGAGCACATAGTACTTACAAGAAGCTAAAGAAATGTGTCTTGGGCTGGCCTGTGGCCTGGTGGTTATGTGAGCTGGATCCCACATGTCAGACTGAGAGGTCTGAGTCCTGAAACTGGATGGGAGTTTGGGAGACACAACAAGCATATGTGTGTGTGTGTGTGTGTGTGTGTGTGTGTGTGCGCGCGCGCGCACGCGCATGCACGCTCGAAATCTTGAAAGGAGGGAGAAATGGAGAAAGAATTGTAGTGTGGTCTTACTTCATGGTGGGGGGGTATTTTCTCTCTTTCTCTGGTGAACACATACATCCTCTAGCAAATTTTTAAAAAAAGAAATGTGGACAGAAAGGATTTCAGTGTACTTGGATTGCAGAACACAAGAAAGGAAGAAAGAAATTATGGCCAAAGTGCTGAAAACAAGGACTAGATCATATGGAAGTCTACAAAATACATGAAGTGCTTCTACTTCACCCCCAAAGCAATCAAAAATCTATTCAAGGGGCCAACAGGTGCTGTAGTAGTTAAGGCACTGGACTTCCACACGGCCTACTGTGGTTCAAGTCCCAGACCTGGTGACCTGAAACTCACACCAGGCATGTGTGTGTGTGTGCCCAAAATCCTGAGAAGAGAATACAAGAGAAGGGATTGCAGTGTGGCCATCCCCCTGGGGAATGATTTCTAACTTTCTCTCTTTTTTTCTCTCTGGCAAGCACATGTGCCCTATAGCAAAAATCTCTCTAAAAAAGAAAAAGAAAGAAAAGAAAGCCATTAAAAATTTTTAAACAAGGCAGTGACATAATCTAATTTGCATTTTTTTAAGATTTATTTATTTTTAATTTTATTTATTATCATTATTCTTCAATTATTGACCAGAAAGAGACAGAGAAAGGGAGAGTGAGAAAGTAGGCCACTAGGTTTGGAACCTGAACCATGGTCAGCTATGTGGGAGTCCAGCATCTCAACCACCACACCACCTGCTGGTCCCTTTAACTTGCATTTTTTTTTTTTTTGGGAGGTTTTTTCTATAGGGCACATGTGTTCGCCAGAAAGACAAAGACAGAGAGATAGACGGTGAGAAGTAACCTCCCAGGGGGGATGGCGATGCCACCATCCTTCTTCTCTCGGAATCTTGGGCACACATGCACATGTGCCTAGCATGAGTTTAAGCCACCGGGTCTGGGACTTGAACCGCGGTCGACTACATGGAGTTCAGAGACATAGCCATTACACTAACTGCTGGTCCCTTAACTTGTACTTTAATAAGATCCCACTCAATTCTTGGCCCTTTGGAGAGAGTGAAATGTATGAAGGTCACTATGACATGAGTGTGGACGATGGAAACAGCAGAGAGCAAGGTCGGAGGTCAGGACGCTGGTTTGGAGGCTGTTAATATTAAATAAGATATTATCTGACAGAACCCCTAACCTAGAGCTACAGATAGCAAAACCACTAGCTGATCTGGAAAGAAGAGCAGTGACAACAAAACCTGTCTATGATAGACTGCTTTTTGGTGGTCTCTAACAAACCATACCACCTAGTACTCATCCCTTGTCTGATCCCCTTCCCCTGGAACATGTGATGGCTCTTTAGCCAATAGAGTGCAATCAAAGTGACACTTTTCTAAGTCCAAGAAGACTTGCGAAAGCTGGGCAGCTCCTGCTTTTACATTCTGAGGGAAGACAACCACCATGCAAAAAGCCTCAAAACCCAGGGACTACAATGTTGGGACAAGCCCAAGCTAGCCATGGAGGAGAACTGAGGCCTCAGAGAATAGCCCAGTTGAGCTGCCGGCATCAGTTGATAGCCATAATCAAGTCCTCAGCCACAAGAGTGAGGCCATTTTGGAAGTAGGTCCCCGGCCCCATGGAACTAACCACGCTGACACCAAGTGAGCAGAGACCACCTGTCCCTGCTGGGCTCTGCCCAAAGAGCAAAATCATGAAAAAATAAATACAGTATCTGTTGCTTTAATTCTCTGAGTTTTGTTAAGTGGCAATAGAAAACTGAAACAGTGACCTACATTTTTGCATAACCCTACATTTTAAATACTCGGCACACCAGTAGGATGAAAATGATTATCAACTCACCACCCAGCATTGTCTCACCTGAACACCATCACCATTGAAGACTCCATCGATGATGAAATACGTCCAGAACACAGGCCACTCACATTCAATGTTTTCAAAGAGCTTGAGTTCAATAATGTAATCGGTTTGGGTCCTGAAATCAAATAGGTGAAGCTTTTGAAAGGTGACGTTGGATGACATATATAATACCATTGTGTCTCACTGGGTTTCCCTTGCTTATCTGATTTAATGCAGCTTGGAAGTTGCTGTGATTAGAATTCTACTCTATGGGAAGATGCTATTTAGGTAGTTTTCCATGGTAAAGTTTCACAAGGTAAATAAGAAATATATAGAAGACTCCTTGGTAGTTCGTTTTATGAATGCTTCCTATATCTCTAACAAATAAATAGCAATTTGCCTATCACAGTGCTTGGTAGGTGGTCTGTTTTATGTATATGGTTAGATTTCTCACTGTGGCAAAGAAACCTAAGGAGAAGGCCATGGCTGGTCTTTTTAAAAAAAAAGTGTGGGCCACAGAACTCGCCTGTGAACTGGCTATAAACTTCAGCTTGCTGTCCTCCCGAAGATCTAACTATTCCATTGCCCAACTGTAGGCTTGCTGACTCCCAAATTTATGCTTCCCTTTCCTAACACTGCAATATGCAATTAGAATCCATAAAGGGAGAACATCACAGTGGCGACTTAGATATAGAGAAGTTAAGGAACCACAGAAACAAGATTTGAATACAACCTCTCTCGGGGTTTTATAACCATCTCGAAGGAAGCGACAACATCCATAACGCCCCTAATAGGAAGACAAAGAAATAATGTACATTAGATGAAATCAGAAGAATTTCTTTGCCTTTTCATTGCTAATTCAGCTCTTCATCCTCTTTCCAAAAAGCAGCTCTTCATCCTCTTGCCCTTGAATCTTTTACCAAAGAGTTATTTTTTTTAAGGTTTTTGCCGTAGGGCACATGCATACCCCAGAGAGAGAGAAAGAGACGGAGAAAGGGAAAGTGTGAACTCACCCCCCAGGAGGGATGGCTATGCTGCAATCCCTTCTGCATTCTCCTCCTGGGACTTTGGGCACACATACACACATGCCTGGTGCGAACTTCAAGCCAGCAGGTCTGGGACTCAGACTGCAGCCAGCCATGTGTGAGTCTATAGCCTTAACCACCATACTACCTGCTGGCCCCTGAGGAGTTATTTTTAAGTAGCAAGCAAGGTATGTTCGGGTTTGAAGAGGACTTGGGAAGGAATGCCAAGACATTCCACGGGAGTATTAGGGCTACGGTGTAATTAAAAGAGTTTGGTGAACGGCCAGTCTTTCACTCTGATTCACTGTATCACACAAGGATGCCAAGAGATCCTTGGTATTTGGAGAAGACACAGGGCAACTGGTTTGCTCTTTCCTACTGGACAGACTGGAAAGCTGGAAGGACACTCCCCAGACTCCCCACAGTTAGGGTCTGGCTGCACGGAAGCCTCTGCTGACCAGATGTGCCCCTGCAAGGCTTGGCAAGGAGGTAGGGCAGGGCTTTCTGTTAGGAACCACCTTCCTGAAGCACCTTCCTGCTAGGACAGGTGCTGCGGGTTTTCCTGCTACAGCTCTAGGGTGCCTCTCCAGCTTCCTGGGTGCCTAGAAAGGAGGGAGGGGACAGCACTCGCTTAATTTGACCCTCTAATCCCTGGACTGGAGCTTTGGGTGTCCATTCCCCAATCCCTTCCTTTCTTCCTTCTTCTTTCCTTCTTTTCACTTCCTTTTTCCTTCTTGGAATCATCAGTCCAGAACTCTCAGCCTAGACTGGGCTCCTCTCCTAAACATTTCATTCCCTGCATTAACTCACTTCCTATCTCCATTGCCTAAAGAGGTTCCTTTTTCTCCACTGAACCCTAATTAATACAGCTGCTTTCTTGAGGGGAATATGACTGGGACCCTTTAACCTGTTTCTGAGACAAAAGCATTTTTCACTGAATCTAAGTGGGACAATCAACATGCAGAGATCAGCTTAGGGAGATTACATTTGGATAAGTTTGCTGATAATTCCATTCTACTGGGATATTTAATGACATTCTAAGTTTAGTGGATTGTGCCATAGTTACTGCATTTCACCTCAGAACAGGGATTCAAAAATTTTTTAATTTAACTTTGGAGTCACCAAAGTTCATGACAGCTTCTGGATTTACCTGGTTAAGTATGTTCCCCAAAAGTTCATGTGCTGAAATCTGACTGAAATACATCAAGAGGAAACTTCATCTGATAATAATCTAGAAGATGAGGCCTTTAGACGTAATTAGGGGAGGGTGGGGCTCCCACGATTGAGTCCTGGTGGACTTATAAGGCGACAGAACAAGACACTCGAACATAGACAAGCTTGCCTGTCCCTCTTGCTGCTATGCGATGCTCGGTCTCCTCCAGCAAGAAGACCCTCACCAGATGTGGCTCCTGGACCTCAGACCTCCAAACTGTAAGCTGAGCAACACTCTATTTTTAAAACTTACCCAAACTCAGGTAATTCTGTTATTCACAAAAGAACAGACCAGAACACAGAGGCATGTAGTCACCGTGTGATTCTGTTTTCTGCCTGTGTGCTCAGCTTTGCATAAACTTCACTCTGAGTCCATTAATCTCACAGAGAACCGAGGCATGGGTGAGCCACTCCTTGTCACCATGTGAAAGTGGCACTCACCAGAGGGCAGAAGGGCACCAGCATGATAAGCACTTACCTGGAGCTTGGAAATAATTTCATTTTTGGTCACATTCACAAGGTTTACATCTTCTACTGCAAAGGCTGGGAAAGAAATAATGGAAAGGAGCCCAGCATCAATCTCTTTAGATGTCGATGCCCTTGGCAGCATGGAGAAGAGAATGGACTGAATGAAAAACAGAGGCAGATTATTAGCCTGGAGAAGCACTATCGGTTAGACACAGTATCTAGAGATCATGATCTTGGCCCCAAGGGAACATTCACGTGGGTTTGCCAATTCTGAGTGGGGCGCCGTCCTACCAACATGGCCCCACTGGCCAACCCTTCCTACCCAGCCATGATTCCTGATCCCTGGGAGAGAGCACAGCACTGCCTGGAGCCCGTGCTGAGAACTGCTTGTCTCCCTGTTGACATGCAGACGGCTAAAGACAGGGTACCTGTGTCAGCAGGATAAAGTCTCCCGGCTAAGAAGAGAGACCAGAGAACACACAAAGGGGGCTGGCTCAGGGAAATGTCTGGCTTCTTTGGAATGGGACCAGTTGGACAGGGTGACCCAGAAACCATGTCAATCCAGAAGCTGTCATGAACACTCAGGCAAAATGGTCAACAATAGAATTATTAGGATGTTGGGAAAGTCATGACATGTTTTTCTATGCAAAAATGTGTCATGATTTTCCAGATGATCCAACAGTTCAATCTTAAGGCTATTTTTTTTTAAAGAATTATTTAACTTTATTTATTTATCTTTAATTTGATCAGAGAGGGACAGAGTGAGAGCAAGAGCAAGCCAAGTGAGAGAGGGAGAAAGGGAGAGAGAGGAAGAGAAAGTGAGAAAGTAAGCCATCAGGTCTGGGACTCAAATCACAGTCGGCCATGTGGGAGTCCAGCGTCATGCCACCTGCCGGCCCCCTTAAGATTCTTTCTAGGGGCAATGCTTACTTAGAGGCACTGTAATAAGGCTTTGATTATAAAGTGGCTGGATTAGGCACTGCAAACTTGGAGAGAAGCTGAAATGACGAGGAAACGTTTGGGAAGGGAAAGCAGCTAACAACTGAGATCTAACATGAACAGCCATGGAGCTAGACTTCTGCAAACATCAGCTCATCAACTCTTCCATACAAGGAAGGAATAAGGTATTATGGGACTCAGAATTCCAAGACACAGAGTCCCATGCCTCAGGGCATGCCGTTACACAGTGCCAGAGCACTAACCCAAGCCCAGCTGGCCACAGCACTCATGTATTTCCACGAGATTACACATCTATACACACCAGCCTATCAAATTGTACCCTAACAAATATAATATTTCCCATTAAGGACGACTTAATGGGGGAAAATGGAGTGAGCTGGAAGGTGGAGAAAAGTTGAATGAAATCCTTCAGCTCCAGGATAAAGCTTCATTTTCTAGATCATTCTAGATCATTGATCTCTGGGTCCAGTTTTTTTAACTAGTCACTCTTCTCTAGGTTGTCTCTACCTAGAAATATAAACTCCCCCTGAAAGCTCTCCACTTTCGAGTTCTCCCAGATCTGTCTCACTCCAATAGCACAATATCTGGCATACAGTAGGTCCTCACTAAATAAGAGTTGACTAGGGCTGAGGGTGGCACTAGAATGTAACACTCTGGGAGGTTGACCCACATGGAAGGTGACTGGTTTGTGTCTGGAGACCTCCCTGAGTACACCAGGCATGTGTGAGCCCATGATCCAAGCTGGCTGAGTCTGAGGGTGAACCGTGGCATCAGGACCCTGCTAGAGGTGCTCTCTCTCACTCATGGAAGAAATAAATAATTATAAAGAAACCCCAAGAGTTTCCTGACTAACAGTTAATGACTTACTGTCTGTTTAATGGAGTCCTCATTCTGTATAAATCATTTCTTTCTCTGATTGGTATTTCAGGCTCTATTCATCTGCCATCTCATCTCTCCTATACTGCCCATTCTGCCCATCCCTACCTCCACCCCCCCCAAGTGAACTAGTGCTTGCCAGTCATTCAGTTTGGGAGAATTGTGTTAGGAGACACTGTGAGATAAACCTGAGAGAAAACCACCTATGTGTTCAAAGACATAAACCAGATCCTGTCTCCAGATGGCTTTGATTGCTGATTGCATAGATATGGCATACCTGTGTCTTATGTTTGCATAGTTAGTATTTCCCAGCTTACAAAGTGCTTGGACAAACTGCCTAAGAAGATTTACTCTGATTCTTACAACTACCTTGTGGGACAAAAGGGAAGAGTCCTAGTAGGCCCATTTTATGGATGAAGAAACTGAAGCTCAAGGAAGTCAAGTACCAGGAAGCTAGAAAGTTGGGGAATCTGAGGTGGAGCCCAGGTCTTCCACTCCAGGACTGCCCTTCCCTGCTCTCTGGAATGCGAGATGCTGGACAAGTACCTGGCAGTGCTCGACCTCATCAGGCAGGACATGGATCACTGACTTGCGTCCGCCATGGGCTCCAAAAAGGTCCAGTTCATCAATTGCCTCAAGTGCTGCCTACAAGCACAGGTATGAATTACTTTTTCTTTCTAAAAACCACAAGCTCCAATATCTGGCACTCTTTTTTTCATCAAGCAATCTATCAATAGCATACATGTTTTCCCAAAGATGATGACACACATCTTTAAAATCCAGCTAAAGAGTCCTATAGTTATGTACAGTTATGGTCAAACCTTACTTTCAATGGATCAAAGCTTTTCTATATTTTGCTGCTCATTGCACAAATAAGAAAGAGAAAACAGGGAAAAGATTCCCAAAATGAAATCAGTATTCTACCAAAAAATGAAATATGAAGAAGCTCATAACATTGTGTGTGTGTGTGTGTGTGTGTGTGTGTGTGTGTGTGTGTGGCAGGGGGAGGTCACTAAATTCATGGCTAACTTTTCTTTCACTTGTTTCAGTGGTTAGCTTCTAACATTAGCACTTCTGGTCCTTCAGAAAGTTGATTCTTTTAGTAATAAGTACATTTTCAGTGGGTTTACTTAACCAAGTATATTTATTGTTGCTTTAAAAATTCTGTCTCTCGGGACCAGCAGTTAGCGTAATGGCTATGTCGCTGGACTCCCACGTAGTCGACCACGGTTCGCATCCCGGACCCGGTGGCTTAAAACTCACGCCAGGCGCGTGTGCGTGCGTGCCCAAGATCCCGAGAGGAGAATGGAGGAGAAGGGATTG